TCTTCCAAGGAGCAAATGTCTTAATTTCATGACTGCATTCACCATTTGCAGTGATTTTGGAGCCCAAGAAAATAAAGCCTGTTACTGTTTCCATTGTTTCCCCATCTATTTGCCATGAAATGATGGGACTGGATGCCATGATCTTAGCTTTTTGAATGTTGAGTTTTAAGCCAGTATGAAAAGGCAAAAATATATGACACATGTTCCAGTTTCTAGGAATTGAATAAAAGAATAGAAACAGAGACTTCCTGGTGGTCCAGTGGTTAAGACTTTGACTTCCAGTGCAGGGGGTGTGGGTTCCATCCCTGGTTGGGGAGCCGAGATCCTACATGCTTCACAGCCAAAAAACCAAAACATGAAACAGAAGCAATACTGTAACACATTTAATAAAGACTTTTAAAAAACATAACAGAAACAGAGAATATGACTTTAATATTAGTAGAGGAGAAGAAAAGCAAATAGTAAAAAATTTTCAATCATGAATGCTAAAATAGAAGAAGCTTCAGTGAGAAATAGGATAGTTGTACAGCCTCAAAATTTCTCCCCAAATTTATTTACTAATTACTGAGCAGTATTAAGGACTTCCCAGGTGGTGCTAGTGGTAAAGAATGCACCTGCAAATGCAGGAGACGCAGGAGACACAAGTTTGATCCCTGTGTCAGGAAGATTCTCTGGAGAAGGAAATGGCAACTCACCTGGGAAATCCCATGGACAGAGGAGCCTGATGGGTCCCAGTCCATGGGGTCGCGAAGAGTCGGACATGAGTGAGCACAGACCATTAACATACATCATGAATTTTTTGACACTCTTCCCTCCAAGAGGTGGAGCTAAATCCCCTCTGCCTGAGTGTAGACTGGCTTAGTAACTCGCTTCAAAAGGAGCATGGAGAATGGAAAATGATCACTTTACAGTATAGAAACCTGGCAGACACAACCTTATCCAAGCCATCAACTTCCACATCACCAGTAACAAATCACATTAATATCATGAACCCCTGACACAATACAATGAGACGAGTGCTTCACATCTGTGGTATTCTTCACACACACATACACATCCTAACACAAGTCTTATGTTAAGAAAACATCAGGTAAACCCAAACTGAGGGAGAAAATATATGACCAATTCTCTTCAGACGTGTCAAGGTCATGAATGATAAGGAAACCCTGAGAAACTGTCACAGACTGGAGGAGACTAAGGATGCTTTTGGTACTGAGAACTAAGTGAAATACAGTTCAAAATTCTGGTTTGAATCCTGGAATGGGAAAAGAAAAAGTAGAAAAACAGCTATGACAGACAGGCCCTAGAGTTCCCTCCATGCCCCCCACCTCCTGGAACTCATGCCCTTTTAATATCCCCTTTGTTGAGTATGGGCAGGACCTGAGCTTCTTTCTAATAGAATATAGCAAATTAATGAGACGTTACTCTAGTGATTACATTTGGTTGAACAGGACTCTGGGCTTCCCAGGTGGCTCCAGAGGTAAAGAACCAGCCTGCCAATGCAGGAGACATAAGAGACGCGGGTCCAATCCCTGGATCAGGAGGATCCCCTGGAGGAGGGCATGGCCACCCACTCCAGTGTTCTTACATGGAAAATCCCATGGACAGAGGAGCTGGCATGGTGGTCTATAGTCCATAGGGCTGCAAAGAGTCGGACACAACTGAAGCAGCTTAGCACACACGCACACATGCAGACAGGGCTCCATCTGGCTAGTAAACTCAAATTCTATTTCCAGCTTTGAAGAAGCACACTTTTAGGAAATACGCGGGTATGTTGGAGAAATCTATATGGCAAGAATCTGCAAGCAGTCGTTAGGAGCAGAGGGATTTCTCAAGTGGAGCTACTGGTAAAGAATCCATCTGCCAATTCAGGAGACACAAGAGACATGGGTTCCATCCCTGGGTAGGGAAAATCCCATGGAAGAGGAAATGGCAATCCACTCCAGTATTCTGGCCTGGAGAATCCCATGGACAGGAGCCTGGCAGGCTACAGTCCATGGGGTCATAAAGAGATGGACATGACTGAGCGACTGAGTATGAGCAGGAACAGAGAAAGACCTCTGAAAGATTGAAATCCTATTTCACAGCTGCAGGAAATGTATTCTCACAACAATCTGAGAAAGTTTGAAAGCAGGTCTTTCCCCAGTTGAGGTTCTTATGCGATCACAGTTCTGGCTAACACCTGGATTGTAGTCTGATAAAACCTTGAAGTAAAGAAACTGACTAAGCCAGATGCAGACTTCTGACCTATAGAAATCGTGTTTTTAAAACTAAATTTTTTTTGATAATTTGTTAGACAGCAATAGAATTGAAGACAACTGTTAAACCTACCCCCCCAAAAAAGTTGCACTTTTAAAACCTCAAATTCTTTAACTTTTCAAAGTTAGGTTCCTAATCATCTTTTTCTAAAGTTAGTAAATTTTACCATCAAGAAGACTTTGAAAGTGTTTAGCCCTGTCCATTAATGTAACTAAATTTCTATAAACATGTTACACTGCATATTTAAATTCAATATATCCATTTTCCTTTTAGTACTTCAATTAAGTCAAATCTTCCCCTGTATTTAAATAACTTGTAAATCTATTACATTTAAATTATAAATAGGTTGAACCTTATGTTCTCCTATTTCAACTCTGCATACAGACTTGGTTAGACTATAACTTAAAATAACACATTTTAGAGGAGAAGAAATAATTGTTTCTCTGCCCTTCTGAGTTCTTAGCTGAGACCCCTGGAACATGATTTTGTGCCTGGGAAGAGGAAAGGTATGATGGAACATTCCAGAAGGAAAGGAAATGGACTGCACAAAGTGGGCTTCTGTCTCTATCCTATAAAAAGGGAGTGGGCAAGAGACCAAGAGGAGAGGTACCTTCCTGGTTAATGAGCAAGGTCACCCAAAGGAGGCTTTTCCTTTAAGATGTGAAAATGTAGTTGCTCAGTTGTGTCCAACTCTTTGTGACCCCATGAACTGTAGCCTACCAGGCTCCTTGGTCCATGGGATTTTCCAGGCAAGAATACTGAAGTGGGTTGCCATTTCCTTCTCCAGGGGATCTTCCTGACCCAGGATCGAACCCAGGTCTCCTGCATTGTAGGCAGACGCTTTACCGTCTGAGTAAGATGTGGTAGGTAATAACAACTATAAAGCCCACAGTCACCCCTGTTACTGTGACCAGGCAGATCCTTCATAAGCTTAGTTTCTCTTCCCTGTTGGGAGTATCGTTTTCAAATAACCATACCATAAATAATTACATTTTACCTTGTTTTTAGTTAGGAACTTAAGATCAGAATTAAGATCAGAATTAAGACTTTGAAAATAAGCAGCCCATCTGGCTGGCTCCCAACAAATGATTCCATAAGGGTCATAAATATTTAGCCTGCCCAGCTAATTGTGGTGACTTTCACTCTCTCCCTGATAACTTTCATTTCCTTTCATGAAACTTCAGGAACTTCCTGTGGTGCAAAGGTGTTGAGAGCAAGTGGAACTGGCTGAGAACTTTATCATTTGCAGACATTTGTGTTAAATGAACATTGTGATGTTTCTTTATGGTCGGCTGTACCAAATATGAGTTCCCTGAGAACAGGTCAAGTCTGTAGACAACTGAAAGAAAGTGAAAGTTGCTTTTGCGCAGTTAGCAATCCAGTTTGAGGATGCAAAGCAAAAAGCACATGATGTAACATGTGACCCCAAATAAGCAGTTCCCAGGTATTAATTATGGGAAATCCCCCCCCACACACACAATTTAATTCTCTCCCAAAAGTGGGAGAGGATAGTGTTAATGTTTTTCTTCATCTTTTAACTTATGAGAAAACAGGTTTAGATAAATTATTAGGTGGCTCCACCAAGGTCATCCAGCTAGAATGTGGTGGGGTCAGGTTTTGAACCCAGGCAGAGAGAGGTCCAAAGACAAAAGCAGCTTTAAGGTTGTAATAAGTTTTAAGGACTGAGAGATTTATATCTAACTTTACTGTAACCTTGGGCAAGTTATTTCCTTTATATGTCCTCAAGTTCCTTATCTGCAAACCTGCTCCTTCTTCATTGGGTTGTTGTGCAAGTGAATGAGCAGGTGCAAGGCGGGCACTTAAGCACATTCCTAACGTATAATGACCGCTCAGCGTGGTCAACAACTAAAAATAAACTGACATCACTCATTCTCAGAAGGACTAAGGTCCCTCGAATCTCAGCATCTCCGCCGACTACAGACGTCACGCTTTTATATTAATACAAACTCTTGAAATCCAAAGGGAACGCAAAGATTGCCTCAGTAAGTCCACTACGGCTAAATAGAGTCACCTGCCCACTCTCTTTTCCCAATTCTCTCCAACTTCCCAGGGGTTTCTTCGATTTTGGCATGTGAGAGGTGTGACTCAGCACCTGACGGGCACACGGGGCTTGAAATGTAAGGAGAAGGGAAGCCTTTCAAGGAGTGGACTTTTCCGTGGGTGAGGGGGTCACAGGCGAAGTCTCCTCCCTACAGGGGACGTCGGTGACAGACGAGACGGTGTGCACTCCTCCCCCCCCCCCACATTTTGGTCACCGCAATAAGCAAGCCCGTAAAGAGGGACGGGCGGCGGCTAGAAGTGTCACACGAGCGGACTTCTTAGCGTCCATCTGATCTGTCCCCACCGCGTCAGTCCCCGGCTCCGCTCTTCACCTCGCCGCCGCCGTTGGGGGCGGGGCCTCCGGAGCGCGGGGCGGGGCCGAGAGCGGCTGGGGGCGGCCCAAGGCCTTAAAGGAGCCGAGTCAGCGCGGGCAGGACACCCGCCGCGGCACAGCCTCCCACCCTCGCGCTCCCGCTGCACCGCCCCCGCCCGCCGGAGCCCCGCCCCGCCCGCCGGAGGCCCCGCCCACCCGCCGGAGGCCCCGCCCTCCGGAGCCCTGCCCCTCCCGCCGTAACCTTCCCGGCTCCCCGCACACCCCGCTGCTCGCGTCCCGCGCCGCCTGTACTGCAGGAAGGAGCTGCGGGCTCCAGCCGCGCCGGCCCGAGCGCGCAGCCCGCACCATGCCCCGCATAGATGCGGACCTCAAGCTGGACTTCAAGGATGTCCTGCTCCGACCCAAGCGAAGCAGTCTCAAGAGTCGAGCCGAGGTCAGGCCCTTCGAAAGCCGCATTGGGGTGGGATTGTTTGTTTTTTTTCCGGGGTGGCGCGGGGGAGGTGGGTGAGAGGCGCTGTACTGTGCGCCCACCTCGCCTGCTTTTCGGTGTGTCTGGGGGCGAGCGGGACGCGGACCCCCTCTGCTCTTCTCACCACTGGAGAGAGGGAAAGCCAGCTGGTCCGCTGCCAGGACAGGAGGTGTCTGTAAGAGGTCCGAGGCGTCCTTAAGAGGTCCGACTCCGGCCTGAAGTCCTCCATGCGTCCGGTTGGGGCGGCGAGGGGAAGCGCACAGCGGAACGAAACACCAGAGGAGCGAAGGCCAAGAGGTCAGCTGATTCAGAAAGAGTGACGGCGAGGCCAGGGGCTGTTTGAGGGGTGCATATAGGGTGAAAAGGACGCGGCGGAGCCCGGGTGTACAGGGACGGGGATTTTTTTTGGCAGCGTCTCTCTGCGGAGAACTCCGACTGCTTTAGTATCAGGTCCAGCCATGGAATTTATTTTAGGAGGTCTGCAACACTGGGAAACTCCAGGGCAAAAGTTCAGGGTTTACTTTCTGCGTTTCACTGACTTCTGGGAGTGAGGCTGGGGACCTTTGTGCCTGGCGGCATCCCCTTACTGGACAGCTGGAGTCCAACCCAGTCTTCCAGAAGCTGGAAACACTGGGGTGCGGGTGTGGGGGCTAATGGGACCTCTGGGGGGCAGGGGTGGGGGCAGTTTGGCCCATTCTGCCTTAATAATGAGAGCAAAGTCCGAGGAACAGGTGGAGACCAGACTGGAAAGAGCTAGAGGTTGGGGGCAGGAGGAAGGTCAAGTCTTGAAGGATAAACTAGTTGCACAGATAGGCAGAGTCCCCTGGAGACGTGTATATGGGTGATGGTGGCTTTGCTTGGGGCTTGGAGCTGGAGAGGAAGGTGAGGAAACTGCTGTGTCTGGAGGCAGGGGTTGCAGAAGTAAACAGGGGGAGGCTGAGCCAGCATAGGTTTCTTCCCCCCGCCCTTCCAGGACCATAAATAAATCCCCTTGCGAGGATCTGGGCTGCCTGCCTGCCTGCCTGCGCTGGGCTGGGATTCCTAACTGCAGTGCCTGGTGCTGCCAGCTGAGGGCTTGTTTGAATTAACTAGAAGCCTCCTGCTTTAGCCAATAATCAGAACCAATCAACTCACCTTCTCAAGCTGGAGGGTTGGCAGCTGGAACCCAGACTGGAAGAGGCGGAGAATGAGTAACCCTTTTCACTCTGGGTTGGTCAACTCTGTTTGTTCCTGCCCTTCACTTTGTCACTTAGAAGAACAATGAACAGCTTGGATGGCAGACTCAGACTCCTGAGGTCTCAGCAGTAGCTGGTACCTGAGTCCACACTGAGACGAGATGTGGGGATTTGGGGCAGACTAATAATTTGGTGGCCGCAATAATCTAAATATTGGGTCCCAATTCACTTAGTAAAGAAAAAGTTGTTTTGAGAAAAATCATATATTTAAAGCAAGGATGTATTACGTGTATTTTCTGAAGCAGGAAACCTCTTGTAAAGGTAAAACATTCAGAATTTGTTAGTTGTTGTTGTTCAGTCGCTTAGTTGTGTCTGACTCTTTGCAACCCCACGGACTGCAAGCTTCCCTGTCCTTCACTATCTCCCAGAGTTTGCTCAAACTCCTGTCCCTTGAGTCGGTGATGCCATCCAACCATCTCATCCTCCGTCACCCCCTTCTTCTCCTGCGCTAGAATGAATTACCCTTATCCAGGGAATAGTATGACGTTGTCTTGGGTCATTTGGTTTCATAATTTGGGCTGACTGAAGCTGTTAAGGTCCCAGCTTCCCATGATACATTGCAATCTACATGCACACACAGCAGTGAGATCTCGGTGCCCTTGAGAAGTGTTTTCATATTTCCACGTTTGTGGGAGTTTACCAGCTCCCTTCCTGGAAACCTGAATTAACTGGCGTTGCCTTTCCGTTTGGTTCCCATCATGGCTTAGCTGCCTACTGGCCACCCCCATCACCTGACTGCCTGTTTCATTGATATTGAGGGATCTAGGAAGTGAAGTTGCTCAGTTGTGTCCTACTCTGTGCAACCCCACGGACTGTAGCCTGCCAGGTTCCTCTGTCCATGGGATTCTCCAGGCAAGAATAGTGGGGTGGGTTGCCATTTTCTTCTCCAAGGGATCTTCCTAACCCAGGGATCAAACCCGGGTCTCCTGCACTGCAGGCAGACTCTTTACCATCTGAGCCACCAGGAAAGCCCATTTGGATCCCATCATGGTTTAGCTGCCTGTTGGCCACCCCCACCCCCTGACTGCCTGCTTCATTGATATTGAGGGATCTAGGAGGACCTCTAACCCCCTCTCAAGGCATGCTCAGTTGGCTGTGGATGCCTGTGAAGTTTCCCATAGGCAAATGAAAACTTTGCATTGTACGACCAGGTAGAATCCTGAAGTGTATGCCCCCAGGCATGGAGATACCTGAATGTAAATTCAAAACTAAATGGTAAATGGCCGGACTTTGAGCCCAGCCCGAGAGCAGAGGTGAGTGGAGCCCGCAGAGCGAACACCCGCCGCGAGAGCAGTCTGGCTGGGAAGGGAGCCTGGTGACTGTTGACGAGATTCATCACTGCAGCAGTTTTGCTCAGAGCTGGGCCAGCTGCTGGATCCGCCGGGCGAGTGAGCAGGAAATGGAGAGAAAGGCAGGGTGCCCTCCCACTCAGGTTTAGTGCTCCTGCCAGGGCATTGCCACAAGTGTCACATGAAATGAACTTGAGATCAACTCCCGGAGGCTAAGGGTACAGGAGGCCAGGTGACCTTTCTGTGGCTGTACCACATCCACAGTCATCGTCAACTGTCCCTGCATTGTCTGTGTTCCTGTCTTCACAAGTCCTGGGGCCACAAGAATGGAGGGCCGCGGGGCTGCATTTAGGTATATTTTCAGAGGAAGTGACATGTGGGTTGGGCAGGGCCTCCAACATGCTGAGGGGGTGACATCATCCCTGACTGCCTGAGAATTCTCTTCCTTGGGACCCATTCCTTGCGACCCATTCCTTGCTCCAGTGACCCATCCTTGTCCTTACGCCAGTAAGATGTTTAAAGAAAACCACAAACCTCACGGCACAACTATAATGTTGGAAGTCGGACAGTGAAGGAGTTTGCAGTGGAAAACTGGTCACTTGGGCTGGGACAGAGATGACAAGACCCAATGAGTCTCCTAAAGACTCTGTAGTCTTTTTCTCACCAGAGGTCTAGTGAGAAATGGACCAGCTCCAGTGAGTTCTGGTCCAACTTCAGTGGACAGCAGGCTGGCCTGAGGGGAACAAGACCATAGCAGAGTAGAGAGGAGATTGGCTGGAGGAAAGGAGACCTGGGTTCTTCCAGGCTCTGAGCCAATTGTGTTATTACCTGGGTTCTGTGCTTGCTGGGGCTGCTGTAACCAAGGGCCACAGACTGGCTGACTCATACAACAGGGGTTTATTGTCTCTCAGTTCTGGAAGCCCTACGTCAAGATGTCAACAGATTGGGTTCCTGCTGAGAGCTCTGAGGGAGAATCTTCCTTGCCTCTCCCCTACCTTCAGATTGTTGACACACAACCTGGATGTTCCTTGGCTGCAAGCATTGTTCCAGTCTCTGCCTTCCCCTTCAATCAGCATTCTCCCTTGCTGCATGTCTCTGTCCAAATTTCCCCTTTTTATAAGAACACCGGTCATACTGGAATGGGATGTACCTTAATGATCTCATCTTACCTTGATTACCCACAAAGACCTTAACTCCAAAAAGGTTGTGTTCACAGGTACTGATGGTTGGTATTTCAATGCCTTTTGGAGGAGAGACAGTTACAACTGTAACAGCCTCTGTAAATGTTGCTCTGTAACATTGGAGGGTTTGACTAGGCTTGCTTTTCATGAATGCATCAGAATTACCTAGGAAGACACTCCTAAATACACACATTGTCTCCATCACAAAGGTTCTGACTTATGAAGTTGGGGCGGATTTTGGGGTGATATTTTGGAAATCATCGTACGTGATTCTGATGTGCACACAGGTGCCGGGAGCTGGCCACTGGAGCCTTTGCACAGTGGAGCACTGTGGTTTTGTGGTGGTATGCGACTGCATGTGCTTTCCTGAATCCTGACACCTGATAGTGAAACATCCAGGGGACCAGGCATGTTCAGGCGGCCAGGCTGGGGCCCACCACACATTGCCCTGAAAGGCTGGCAGCCAAAACATAATCCCATCCTTACCCTTAGCCAGACATTAATTCTTTGCACCCTTTTTGAGCCACCCACAGAGGGGAAAGGCATTGCCCCTGCACTTATAGTCTACACGTGAGACCGGTACCGAGTAACGTAGTCACAGAATTGCTTTGATCGGCGCCATCCGTAGGTTTAGGCAAAAGAGGCCCCTGCCCCAGACCCCGGTTTTGTCCCCTCCTCATGGGACAGAGCTGAAGGCTGGGCCTTTCCCTCTGGGCCGTGCTCTAGATACTCAGAATCCTGGATTTCCTGCCCAGATGGCTTCGAACTGATTCCAGGGCCTGCACAGGGCAGGGGGGTGGGGGGTGGGGGGTCTTCTCCAGGTGTGTTTTCTAAGGGCCAGCCATGCTGCTCAGATGCTCGCCTCTTTATCTCAGAGAGTGGCCAGGTCACTGCTGTTTGAGGGATAGACGTGTGGACATGGAGGTTAGCATGTAGGCTGAAGTGTCGCTGTGTGCACAAAAGGATGTGTGTGAGGAGAGATGGCCAGGACCGGCTCCCATGACCCCATGTTCTAGTGCTTTCCCTCCCCTTAATGAAACTTGTCCAGGAAGGACCACAGAGCAGAATTTGTGTAGCAGCTTCTTATACGTTGCTCATGACACTGAGATATTTAAAAACGTGGCAGATGAGCTTCTGGTTGTAGTTTGGGGGCCCTCAAACACTGGGCTGTAGGACTGACTGTGACAAAAGTGAAAGTGTGTTGTTTGCCCAGTCGTGTCTGACTCTTTGCGACTGCATGGGCTGTAGCCCGCCAGGCTCCTCTGTCCATGGGACTCTCCAGGCAAGAATCCTGGAGTGGGTTGCCATGCCCTCCTCCAGGGGATCTTTCTGACCTGGGGATTGAACCTGGGTCTCCTGCCTTGCAGGCAGATTCTTTACCATCTGAGCCAGCAGGGAAGCAAGAGCGGTGGAAACATGTATTTTTGAGGCAGAGGAGGGGTGGCTTATTACTTTCTGTGCCCTTTCAGATCAGGCTTAGCAGAGAGGGAGTTTGGAGGTGCTATATTTGGTGCCTTGACCAGCTGTGGCAGATTAAATGCCAAGTTTAGTTGCTGGTGACTAGGATATTTAAAATATTTCTCTCAGTAAACAACTGGTCTGTTTTTGGGTGTGTGTTTGTGTGTGTGTCTTTCTGTGTACATAAGGTCGGAGCAGATATTTTATTTCTCATTCCTAGAATTAAGGATTGCATAGACTCTGCCATGTGGAAGAGACTAGACGTGAGGGGAAGAGTTCCTTGTCAAGGCTGACCTCCTCCATGGAGAACAGTTTTTTGCCTACTGCCTATAGGTTTTTGGAGTGCCCCCCAAAAAAAAAAACCATTGTGAGCTCAGCTGGGTGCAGAGTATAGCTGCTCTTCCCATGCATCTTGGAAGCAGTATTAGTAATTTGAGACCAAGAAATCCTGATTGTTGTGAGCCTGCGGAGCCTAAATGTTAGAAGGCCATTAGCAGCCCAGAAGGGTGCAATTAATAGTTCCCGTCAGTTATCTTTTAGGATGCAGATCGAACTTGCTTAACTGAAGTAGAACCAAGCATGGTAATAAAGGAAGTGGGGGAAAGGGATGTGCTGCCTCCCACCAGTGCCCCCTCGGTCACAGCATCTCTTTTCCCCTCAACTGATGCTGTTTAAGGCCGGTGCCACCGTGTTGATGACCTCATTCGCTCAGGAAGCCTTCTGTGTGTAGAAGAGCAGGAGATGAGAAAAGCCCAAAAGACCTAGGTGTCCCCTGGTGTCTTGACATGCTGATGGCAAAGCGAGAATTACTTCCTAAAAATCGGTTCATAGGTACTGTTTTTTTCCAGATTTCATGTATACGCGTTACTGTGCGATATTTGTTTTTCTCTTTCTGACTCACTTCACTCTCTAACAGGCTCTAGGTACATCCACCTTACTGCAACTGACTCAGGTACTGAGGAACCTATTTGCAGGACAGGAATGGAGACACAGATGTAGAGAAGGGCCTTGTGGACACAGCAGCGGAAGGGGAGGGTGGGACAAACTGAGAAAGTAGCATTGACATGTATACACTGGTGGTGGTGATGGTGGTTTAGTTGCTAAGTCGTGTCCAACTCTTGCGACCCCATAGATTGTAGCCGGCTAGGCTCCTCTGCCCATGGGATTCTCCAGGCAAGAATACTGGAGCAGGTTGCCATTTCCTTCTCCAGGGGGTCTTCCCAACCCAGGGATTGAACCCAGGTCTCCTGCATTGCAGGCAGATTCTCTACCAGCTGAGCCACAAGGGAAGCCCAAGAATACTGGAGTGGGTAGCCTATCCCTTCTCCAGCGGATTTTCCCGACCCAGGAATCGAACCAGTCTCCTGTATTACAGGCGGATTCTTTACCAACTGAGCTATCAGGGAAGCCATGTGCACACTGTTATATGTAAAACAGATAGCTAGTGGGAAATTCCTATATAACACGGAGCTAAGCCTGGCACTCTGTGATGACCTAGAAGGATGGGATGGATGAGGGGAGGGAGGATATAATTATGACTGATTCATGTTGTATGGCAGAAGCCCACACAACAGTGTAAAGCAATTTTTATTAAAAAGTAATAAAAAAGAGAAAGTTACTTCCAATGAAAAATAAAAGGCTCTAGATAAACACTGGTAGGAAATGATTATTGCCATGGTCCTTAGTAAACTGGGATTAATGTGGGTCCAGATTCTTGCAGCAGCTTAAGATTCACACCTGGGTTTGTACTACCAGTTCCCCTTGGGGAAGCGCCCCCTTCCACGAGGGGGCCATGTCCTGCAGGGTCCAACTAAGGAAACAGACAAGACTGAATATTTAAAACAGGAAATTTAATACGAGGCAGTGTGGCTCAGCGGAGATGCCAGAGGGGATACCAGGGACCCCAGGGACTGACTGCAGAGAAACCACTTCCAAAGGGGAGGGTCCCAAGGCCTGGGATCACTCTGTGAGCTAGAACCATGACCCAGCAGGCCGTGGCCGAGGGGGTCTGCAGAACTACTCTGCTTGGACCCAGGCCCGTCTCCTCCCTTGTCCCACCAGTGGCCCCATTGGCCAAACCCAGCCAGAAACCAGCCTGGGAAGTGGAGCCTGGTGGTGTGTGTGTGTGTAGGTCCTTAGATAAGAGCAGAGCAGGCGTAGGGTGAGCACTGCCTCTGGGCATATACATGGCTGTCTTTGTTTGGCAGCTGGGGATCTGCCCCGGGATAAAGCCGTGATTTTGATTCTGCTAGCTCTTGGCAAACACCTGGCCCTACTGACTGCTTTTGCTGAGCCCGCCTTCCTGGCTTAGCTCTCGTTCTGGATTCCCAATCTCTTGAGTTAGTCATAAATACCCTGAGGTTGGAATTAGGGTAGAATTGGATCTGTGTTTGCAAATCAGAAACCAGTAGTCATGTGCACAGACCTGGCTATCTTTGAAAGATGCTGGTAGTCACGAAACAGTGGAGAAGGTTGAAGGGCACAGGGCTTAATGGGGGTTGCAGCTGACTGCAGGGTGAAGGTGGAGTCCCTGGTTCTCTCAAAAGGTGGGATTAAAGGGAGGGCCTTGGGTGGCGGGGAAGACTGGAGTGGATTTTCCCAGAAGGGGAACCGTCCCTCCAGAAGTGGAGAATGGTGACTTGTGTGTGGGTGTTTGGGGCTGGCATGAAGCAAGCTGGGGACAGAAGGTGGCTGGGGGGGATGGGAGAGGCTATTGAAGGAGAGAGCTTCCAATTTGGAGGCTGGGCTTGACGGCAGAACACGTGGTGCCTTGACCTGGTTTCTTGAGGATCAGAAGGATCCAGGTTCAGTTTTTGCACCTGGATAACAACCCGTGTTTCCATTTCCTCAGGGACTCGCTTGTGTTTGGAACCCCTGGCCCAACCCCTAAGAGGACCCAGGGACATACACTTCCTTTGTGTCTTTTCATTCGCTCCAAACTCTAGAAATTCTGCCCCAATCACATAAAGAACCAAGGACTTCTTTCCCCTCTTGCAATAGGTGGACCTTGAGCGAACCTTCACATTTCGGAACTCGAAGCAGACCTACTCGGGGATTCCCATCATTGTGGCCAACATGGACACCGTGGGGACGTTTGAGATGGCGGTGGTGATGTCACAGGTAGGACGGTGGGCTGTTTCCCTCCGGTGCTCACACTGGACAGCTTGTCATACACGGGAGAGGAGAAAAGTGAGACATTTCAGGTCATTCACTGTGGCCAAACTAATTGGTTCTGCATCTGATTGTTGCTGGAGGCCCTTCTTTTTCTCTCTTCCATCAGAAGGTAGGTGGAGTCTGGACTTTGCATTCAATGAGATGGTCTAGATCTGATGCCCAAAGCTCAGCTTCTCTGTACACTGGTGCCAATCAAGCCTTGGAGACCATCCTTAATCATTAACTTCTCCCACCTGGAGGGTGTTTCAGTATCTGCAAAATAGCTCAAAGATATTGTTGTGTGTATCCCTTGATGGGGAGTTTTGGGTGAAGTAGAAAAGGATAGCTTTATTGCTTTGCCATTGAATTTACCTGCAAAGCAGGAGACCTGGGTTCGATCCCTGGGTCGGGAAGATCCCCTGGAAAAGGAAATGGCAACCCGCTCCAGTATTCTTGCCTGGAGAATTCCATGGACAGAGGAACCTGGGTTTACAGTCCATGGGGTCGCAAAGAGTTGGACATGGCTGAGCGACTAACACACTCATTGCTTTGCCAGACAAAGGGGCACACAATGGACTAACGTCTGCAGAACTGTGTGTCTGCACTTGGGAAAGACAGTTACAAGTTGTGTAGTCATTGTTCAGAGGGTGTGATCAGCTCGCAGACATTCTTCTGATGGGTTGGTGGTGAGGTAAGTAGGAGTCAGTGTTTTCAGCCTTCAGGGCCAACTGTCTATGGTCTACAGGCTTGTGGGCAGCATGAAAAGTAGTGTCAGTCACTCAGTCATGTCTGGCTCTTTGGCGGCCCCTGGATGGTAGCCCACCAGGCTTCTCTGTCCGTAAAGTTCTCAAGGCAAGAATACTGGAGTGGGTTGCCATCCCTTCTCTAGGGGTCTTCCCAACCCGGGGATCAAACCGGTGTCTCCTGCACTGGCTGAGCCATCAGGAATGTGGGCAGCATACCATCCTTAATCATTAACTTCTCCCACCTGGAAGGTGTTTCAGTATCTGCAAAATAGCTCAAAGATATAGTCATGTGTATCCTTTGATGGGGAAACAGGACTTTGCTCCCAGGCTGCTCTTCACTGTTTGTTACTCCCTGGTCTCCCCTCCTTTGCCTAATTAGTAACTATTTCAATCTGCCCGTTGGAACTCAGGGAAGGTCATGGAGGCTAAGTAAAGGCTGTTTCCTATAATCAAAGCAATGGGGGGGGGGGTGCGGGCGGCACTGAAAAACTGTGCCCAGGAGCCTCACAGGACCCTGCTCAGTTTCAGACCTGTATCCATTTCTTCCTTGAAAATTCCTGTGATAGTTTTGGAAATTAGAGATTACAAAACGAAGTTGGACGTCATGCCATATTATAATGTTAGAGAAGTGTTGAATTTAGTAGAAGAGTGACAGCACCTTTAAAAAGACAGAATCACTTTGTTCTATAACATTTATTATATCACAATATAGGAAACTTAGGTGCCAAGCACTGGACGGAACGTGGATGAGGAGGTCACAGCTCCACCAGATGGTTTCTGAGGAAACCAAGGCAGAGACAGAGGAGAGGTCACTTGGCTCAAGGCATTTGGGCAAATAGACATAGAGCCAAGATGCAGACCCAGACTGACTCCAGCATAAAGGGTCTGCCTCCCAACTTACTCTGGCAGATAATAGTGTAAGCTCAGGGTCCCTGGAGTCGGCTGCTGTCTTTCTGCCTATAAAGGGAGTCATATCCTGGGCTTGGGAAAATAAAGGCAAAGTTACTGTGGGCAGAACCCTCATCTCACGCATCTGTGTCTGCATTTGGATTCAAGGTTCAGTGCATCTTAACTCATCATCGATGTGAAATGTGTGCTTCTGATGCTCAGAGTCTGTGCATCTATTTCCATAGACAATGCCTGCCAAGTGAAAAGATAAATCCAATTAGTTGAAAGAGCTTCTTGCTGTGGGCAGCACGTCTAACCTCAGGAGGTGCTGGGATTCATTATTAGCCAGTGATTAGAAGGAAGATTTTCAAACAAATTATGAACTCACCAAATGGTGTAGGGGGTGGTCTGCCTGAGGTCTGAGTCCAGAATCAGTTGCATCGTCTGTCCGCACTCAGCCCCCATTGAGCTTTGGGCCGAAGGCTAACAAATTAATTGGAAAAGGAATTTGTGTTTTTTTTTTTCTCCCTATCTTTCCCTCACTCTGCTGTGATCAGCCATTGGTCTTCATGAATTATGTATTTGTGTAAAAGTGCATGAAATCAGGGAGGGATTAATAGCCCTGATTAATTCACATATCAGATTACTGTTTCATGAGAAACAGAGAACTTGCTAGGCTTTTCCCATTTGCACAGGAAGGACTTTCCATAAATGAAAATAGCTAATCATATGTGGGTCCTATGAATTTTCCATTTCTAGAATGCTGAGTTAGTCATGCATCAGTAAAGTCAGAGAACTTTTTATTGGGGGAGATAGACTGAGAGAAGTTAGGAGTGAGGCCCCTATACAGGAGGTGGAGGAGCCTGGGTTCCGCATTCAGATTTGAGTTTGATTCTGTCCTTTGCCCACTTTTTGGCCAAACATTTGTTAAATTTCTTAAATGTAAGTTTTTCAAGCCCCATCTTTGCCTGTGAAGTTACTGTTGTACAAAGCTGTTCTGAGAAGTACATGAAATAATGTATGCAGAATTCTTGTGCAAAATAAATGTTCAGTAAACCCTTGCTGGGTTGATGGTCATAGTTTTAGAATTAGGATTTATGTACTTCCTTCCCTCAAGAATACCAGCTGCCTGATGGGTTTAGCTTTTAGCAGGAAATGTTTAGGTCCTGAACACAAAGAGAAGCTTTCAGGTAGAAGCTGAGGTTCTTTTGGGTTGACTAAGCATCACTAAGCACCGATACTTTGGCCACCTGATGCGAAGAGCTGACTCATTGGAAAAGACCCCGATGCTGGGAAAGATTGAGGGCAGAAGTGGGCAATGGAAGAGGATGAGATGGTTGGATGGCATCACCGACTCAATGGACATGAGTTTGAGCAAACTTTGGGAGAGAGTGAAGGACAGGGATGCCTGGCGTGGTGCAGTCCATGGGGTCGCGGAGAGTCAGACATGACGTAGCGACTGAACAAGAAGAAGCAGCATCACTTTGCCTTCGGGCTGTGCTGCTGACCAGCAGGAGACCAGCCCTCTGTGCTGCTCTTGGCCTGTCACATGTGGGCTGGACCAGGGCTCTCAGAACCCTCCCTCCTCCTCTCCCACCCCTGCCTCTTGGCATTGCCTGGTCAATCTTGAATGCTGTGTTGGCTAATGAGATTAGAATGGTCCTGTGATTTCCCCGGTTACACCTTCCTCTGTTTGGGGCCCCTCGGAGCATATTCAAAGCAAATGAAGCGTGAAAGGCTGGAACACTGGATGGTTTTGTGTTGGTGGTTTAACCTCACCATGTGGAGGAAGGCGGGGTGGGGCGCCCTTGACTTCTCCTCCTGATGGTGCCTTTCCATTTTGTTTCCTAGCACGCCATGTTTACAGCGATTCACAAGCATTATACCCTGGATGACTGGAAGCTCTTTGCAGCTAATCACCCAGAATGCCTGCAGGTAAGACTCTATCCTGGTTATAAATGACCTTTGTTGCCCCGGAAGGGAAATGCCAGGGTAGTCAGGATTTGAGTTGGCAGCAGATAGACACACAGACTCCCAGGCGATGAAAGACAGGGAAGCATGGCGTGCTGTAGTTGACTTAGCAACTGAACAGTAACAACAGACACACAGTCCCAAAGAGAAATTGGGGAAGGCAATAGGGAACCCACAGCCCTTGATCGTTGCTAGGAATTTGCCAAGGAAACCTGTTCTGTACTCCTTTTTAAAAATATGATGATTTACCTGTAAGGAGCATATTTTTTCCCCTTGGAAAGTGAAGTGTTTTGTCATGAGAGCTAGCAGAGGTCCCAGCTAGGTCAGTCCTGCCAGGGATTGAGTCCGTTCCGAACATGCCTTTTATCTAGAAAAAATATCTAATTATAATAAGTTATAATTGGAGCTGAATATGATGGAGCAGAATAAAGAGTATGCTCTCCAGGATGACTTTAATCAAAAAGGCAGATAATACAAAGTATAGGTGTAGATGTGCAGAAATTGGAACCCTCTGACATGGCTGGTGGGAATGTAACATGGTGCCGCTGCTTTGGAACACAGTTCGGCAATTTCTCAGAAGGTTCAACATAGGAGTTACCATATCACCTAACAATTCTATTTCTAGAGTAGACCCAACAGATATAAAAATATATGTTCACACAAAACCTTATACAGGGATATTGATGCATGCTTAGTCACTCAGTCGTGTCTGACTCTTTGCAACCCCATGGACTTCAGACCACCAGGGTCCTCTGTCCAAGGGGATTCTCCAGGCAAGAATACTGGAGTGGGTTGCTGTGCACTCCTCCAGGGGATCTTCCTGACCCAGGGATTGAACCCAGGTCTCTCATGTCTCCCGCATTGCAGGCAGATTCTTTACCATCTGAACCACCAGGGAAGCCCACACAGATGTTCATAGTAGCACTATTCATGGTAGCCAAATGGTTCATGTGTCTGGCTGATGAACAAACAAAACCTAGTATACCCATAGGGTGGAATATTCAGCTGAGAAGGGCAATAAAGTACTGATTCATGCTACAACATGAATGAACCTTGGAAATGAAACTGTTCACCTCAAACTTGGACTTGGACCCACATGGCTGGGACTCAAGCCCAGCCAAACCCATGGTCTTTCAACTGATCTCACACACTGGGGTTTCAGGGCCTAATGAAGCTCAGGTTGTTGATGTTTTATCGCAGAAAGAATTCAGTGAGAGACAAAGTGATAGGTGTGCTGCATGCTAAGTCGCTTCAGTTGTGTCCAGCTCTTTGTGACCCCATGGACTGTAGCCCACCAGGCTCTTCTGTCCATAGGGATTTCCAGGCAAGAATACTGGAGTGAGTTGCCATGTCCTTCTCGAGGGGATCTTCCTGATCCAGGGATCAAACCCACATCTCTTATGTCTCCTGCATTGGGAGGCAGGTCCTTTACCACTCATATCACCTGGGAAGCCCAAAGAGATAGGTAAGAAGCGGGTTTATTTGAAAGAAACACATACTATAGAGTGTGGGCCATCTCAGAAGGCAAGAGTGACCTTGAAATGTGCTACGAAGTGCTCAGTTGCCTCAGTTTTGTCTGACTCTTTGCAAGTCTCTGGACTGTAGCCTGACAGGCTCCTCTGTCCATGGGATTCTCCAGGGAAGGATACGGGAGTGGGTTGTCATGCCTTTCTCAAGGGGATCTTCCCGACACAGTGATTGAACCCACATCTCTTATATCTCCTGCATTTGGCAGGCAGTTTCTTTTACCACTAGCGTCACCTGGGAAGTTTGAAATGTGGTGTGGTTAGCTTTTATGGGGCACTTCCCTGGTGTCTCAGTTGGTAAAGAATCTGCCTGCCATGTGGGAGACCCAAGTTTGATCCCTGGGTCGGGAAGATCCCCTGGAGAGGGGCATGGCAACCCACTCCCGTATTCTTCCCTGGAGAATTCCATGGACAGAGGAGCCTGGTGGGCTGCAGTGCATGGGGTCGCAAAGAACTAGACGCGACTGAGCTGAGTGACCTAACACTTTGAACTTTTCACTTTCACTAGCTTCTACGGCTTGGGTAATTTCATAGGATAATGAGTGGGAGGATTATTCCAACTATTTTGGTGAGGGGGTGGAGATTTCCAGGAACTGGGCCACTGCCAACTCTTGGGTCCTTGATGGGCGGCCTTGGAACTGTCATGGTGCCTGTGGGTGTGTCATTTAGCTTGCTGATGTCTTACAGTGAGCATGTACTGAGGCTCAAGTTCTAGTTGAAGTCTGCTCGTCCTCCGTCTTGAACGTATTTGGTTCTAATCAGTTTATGTGGATGGGTTCCAACATCCTTCTGTCCATGGTTGGTCAGCAGCTAGTTGTGATTTTGATGTTCTCGCAGGAGAAGATAAGCACACGTCCTTTTACTCCACCATCGCCATGGTGTGCAAAGTCCAATTAGTGACTGAACAACATCAATGACTGTTTACGTTGTGTCCTTGGTCTGTGTCATTCTTTTAAAGGTTCTGCCCTGCCCGCTTCACTCCTGTTTCAAAAACATTTTTCTAAGTGAAAAAGCCAGACACAAAAAGCCCTGTATATGATTCTATTTCCATGAAATGTTGAGACAAGGGAAATCTATAGAGACAGAAGTGGATTAGTTGAGAGTGAGGGCTAAAGGGTGTGGAGGTTTCTCTTGGGGGCTGATGAAATGTTCTAGAATTGATTGTGGTGACGGTTGTACAACTCTGAATATACTAAAACCCACTAAATTGTGCACTTTAAATAGATGACTCATATGTGACTACATCTTAATAAAGCTGTAACTGAAAAACAGAAAGGTGGTTTGAAAATAATAAAGGCCCCAATAGAACATGCCAGTCTTCGATCCTGGCACCCTTAGGTGGTCCTGTGTCCATGCTAAAGAGACATCTCTATGCTGGGGATGATTTCCTCCATGGTCAGATCATCTGGATTTGGAAAATGACTTCTTAATGTACTGCTTTTGAAGTTATGCTAGTTTCTGGCTATTTTTCTTTGCTGTGCCATGACTGTGTGTGGATTTTGATTGGCGAGGGAGGTGGTTACAGAGATAAAATAGTTCTGGCTCACACTTGAGTCCTTTCTTTTCAGCATAATTTATTCTAATGGATTATCTCTGTTTCACCTTATCCCCCTCTTCTCTGGAGGAAGTGTGGGGAGCATGAGTTTCCAGCAGTGCACTGTGGATCAGAACCGTGGCTTTCATTACTAAGGGCAGGCATTTCACTTATTACCCCACTGCCACCGAAGTTAAATCTCATTAAAAAGGGAACGCATGACAAACCCAGTGGCACTGAGAGAAACTTACCAGTCTCCAGTTCCACCTGCCAAACTTTAACAGAAATGAAAGGAAAGATAAAAAAGATAGCAGAGCTGAGTGGGAGGGAAAGAACTTGTGGACTTGGGGAACCAGTCAGACTGTCACCAGTCATGAAGGTGGGAGTCAGTATGTATCACATTATCAGTCGGCTTACACTAAGTCTGGATGTGAGAGTTGGACTGTGAAGAAAGCTGAGTGCTGAAAAATTGATGCTTTTGAACTGTGGTGTTGGAGAAGACTCTTGAGAGCCCCTTGGACTGCAAGGAGATCCAACCAGTCCATCCTAAAGGAGATCAGTCCTGGGTGTTCCTTGGAAGGACTGATGCTGAAGCTGAAACTCCAATACTTTGGCCACCTCATGCGAAGAGTTGACTCATTGGAAAAGACCCTGATGCTTGGAGGGACTGGGGGCAGGAGAAGAAGGGGACGACAGAGGATGAGATGGCTGGGTGGCATCACCGACTCGGTGGACAGGAGTTTGATAAACTCCGGGAGTTGGTGATGGACAGGGAGGCCTGGCGTGCTGCGATTCATGGGGTTGCAAAGAGTTGGACATTACTGAGCGACTGAACTGAACACTAAGTCTGTGGGGTGTAGCTCCATTGTTGTGATTTGTGGTTTGGGGGGAGTAACAAAGGAGAGTAAGATGTGCTGCTCACCAGCATTTATAGTTTAGAGGTGTGAGTTAAAATATTGAATTTACAAATTTTAAATTTATAAAAAAATAAATACATCATAGAAGGTGAGATGCTAACTCTGGGCACAGTCCCACGGGCTAGTTTTAATGAGGCATAAACTACTAAAACCCTCAGAGCAGATTTCGAGAGCAGCAGAGGGGTGGGTTGGAGGCACCGGTGCTGAGGAAGGTTAGGGGAGAGGGTATCACGGAGGAGGAGGTGGCGGCATCAGATGTAAACACATCCCAGCGCAGACAGGAAGGATCCTTTCAAGCTTGTTCATTCTTATGCTTCGGGATATTTATTGGAGGCATTAAGACTTGTATGTCATTTTCCTTTCTTTTATTTTTAATATTTACTTATTTGGCTGCACTGGGTCTTAGTTGCGTCATGTGGGATCTAGTTCCCCTGACCAGCGATCGAACTTGGACCTCCTGCACTGGGAGTGCAGTGTCTTAGCCACTGGACCAGGGAAATCGCACAATTTGCATGTTGTGATAATGTTGTAGTGGGAGTAAAAATGAAAACAGGAAGGAGTTTTATCAGAGAGGTTTTAGACATCTTTCCCTCTGTCCTCTCCCACCCCCACCTCAGTGGGATGCTCAGGGTAACGGCCACTGCTTTGGCATGAGGAACTCGAGCAGACCAGCCACCCTGGTTTTCCTTTCCTCTCCTCTGCTCCAGGAGGAGAATTTGCACCAGCTGCTCCATGGTTCTGCATTCCACGTGGCGTTGTTCAGTTGCCAAGTCGTGTCCGACTCTTCGTGACCCCATGGACTATAGCATGCCAGCCTTCCCTGTCCCTCACCATTTCCCAGAGTTTACCCTGGTTCATGTCCATTGAATGGATGATGCTAACCAACTATCTCATCCTCTGCCATCCCCTTCTCCTTCAGCCTTCAATCTTTCCCAGCATCAGGGTCTTTTCCAAGACTGGCTCTTCGCATCATGTGGCCAAAGTATTGAAGCTTCAGCATCAGTCCTTCCAATGAGTATTCAAGGTTGATTTCCTTTAAGATTGACTGGTTTGATGGCCATGTGAAAAGCTTGAGGAAATTAAAAGCCATGGATGAGATTGTGTGGCCGAGGTTCAGGTCTCAGCTTAGTGTTTATGTGCAGTTGAGTGTTGGAAAAGACAACAGTCAGTTGAGATAAATGACCGTGAGACTCTCCTTTGCCTCTGCTGCTGCAGGTTTCTTGAGCCGGTCCACTGTGTGTGTGATCAGGGTGAATCTCAGAGGGGCACGGTACTGTCCCCAGAACTGGCAGGTGGATGGAGGCAGGGTCTGACCTCTGAACGCCACTTACCGTTCCTGTCTTACACCTCTTGCTTTATTCGGTACAGCATGTAGCTGTGAGTTCGGGCAGTGGGACGAATGATCTGGAAAAGATGAGCAACATCCTGGAAGCTGTGCCGCAGGTCAAGTTTATTTGCCTGGATGTGGCCAATGGGTACTCGGAGCATTTTGTGGAGTTTGTGAAGCTGGTCCGGTCCAGATTTCCAGAACACACCATCATGGTAAGTGTGATGGGATGACCCTCTAGATGGGGAAGAAGAGAAGAATTACATGGTGTGTTGGGGCAGCTGTGTTCTTCTGGGAGCTTTTGGTGCCTTCTTTCTAGAAGAATAGTTGAGAATCAGTGGGAAAAGGACAGGCAGCAGCTGCGAAGATCTGAAAACTGGCTCAGCTATAAAAAGTAAAATCCAGATCAACGTCATAGGGTGTTGGCTCCTTGTCTCTGCTAGATATCATCAAGTGTTTCATACCATGTGAGACCTTTATACCAAGGTGTATGTCACTGCTTAACAGAGTCTATTTTATTTTTTCTTTTGCTTTAAAAAGTAACTGTCATTTTATTTATTTATTTTTTTCTTTTTTTTTTTCCATTTATTTTTATTAGTTGGAGGCTAATTACTTTACAACATTGCAGTGGTTTTTGTCATACATTGAAATGAATTAGCCATGGATTTACATGTATTCCCCATCCCGGTCCCCCCTCCCACCTCCCTCTCCACCCCATCCCTCTGGGTCTTCCCAGTGCACCAGGCCCGAGCACTTGTCTCATGCATCCAACCTGGGCTGGTGATCTGTTTCACCCTCGATATACATGTTTCGATGCTGTTCTCTTGAAACATCCCACCCTCGCCTTCTCCCACAGAGTCCACAAGTCTGTTCTATACATCTGAGTCTCTTTTTCTTTTTTTTGCATATAGGGTTATCGTTACCATCTTTCTAAATTCCATATATATGTGTTAGTATACTGTAATGGTCTTTATCTTTCTGGCTTACTTCGCTCTGTATAATGGGCTCCAGTTTCACCCATCTCATTAGAACTGATTCAAATGAATTCTTTTTAACGGCTGAGTAATATTCCATGGTGTATATGTACCACAGCTTCCTCATCCATTCGTCTGCTGATGGGCATCTAGGTTGCTTCCATGTCCTGGCAATTATAAACAGTGCTGCGATGAACATTGGGGTGCACGTGTCTCTTTCAGATCTGGTTTCCTCAGTGTGTATGCCTAGAAGTGGTATTGCTGGGTCATATGGCAGATCTATTTCCAGCTTTTTAAGGAATCTCCACACTGTTTTCCATAGTGGCTGTACTAATTTGCATTCCCACCAACAGTGTAAGAGGGTTCCCTTTTCTCCACACCCTCTCCAGCATTTATTGCTTGTAGACTTTTGGATAGCAGCCATCCTGACTGGCGTGTAATGGTACCTCATTGTAGTTTTGATTTGCATTTCTCTGATAATGAGTGATGTTGAGCATCTTTTCATGTGTTTTTTTGCCATCCGTATGTCTTCCTTGGAGAAATGTCTGTTTAGTTCTTTGGCCCATTTTTTGATTGGGTCATTTATTTTTCTGGAATTGAGCTGCAGGAGTTGCTTGTATATTTTTGAGATTAATCCTTTGTCTGTTGCTTCATTTGCTATTATTTTCTCCCAATCTGAGGGCTGTCTTTTCACCTTGCTTATAGTTTCCTTTATTGTGCAAAAGCTTTTAAGCTTCATTAGGTCCCATTTGTTTATTTTTGCTTTTGTTTCTAAAATTCTGGGATGTGGGTCATAGAGGATCCTGCTGTGATTTATGTCGGAGAGTGTTTTGCCTATGTTCTCCTCTAGGAGTTTTATAGTTTCTGGTCTTACATTTAGATCTTTAATCCATTTTGAGTTTATTTTTGTGTATGGTGTTAGAAAGTGTTCTAGTTTCATTCTTTTACAGGTGGTTGACCAGTTTTCCCAGCACCACTTGTTAAAGAGGTTGTCTTTTTTCCATTGTATATCCTTGCCTCCTTTGTCGAAGATAAGGTGACCATAGGTTCGTGGATTTATCTCTGGGCTTTCTATTCTGTTCCATTGATCTATATTTCTGTCTTTGTGCCAGTACCATACTGTCTTGATGACTGTGGCTTTGTAGTATAGTCTGAAGTCAGGCAGGTTGATTCCTCCAGTTCCATTCTTCTTTCTCAAGGTTACTTTGGCTATTCGAGGTTTTTTGTATTTCCATACAAATTGTGAAATTATTTGTTCTAGTTCTGTGAAAAATACCGTTGGTAGTTTGATAGGGATTGCATTGAATCTATAGATTGCTTTGGGTAGTATAGCCATTTTGACAATATTGATTCTTCCAATCCATGAACACGGTATATTTCTCCATCTGTTTGTGTCCTCTTTGATTTCTTTCATCAGTGTTTTATAGTTTTCTATGTATAGGTCTTTTGTTTCTTTAGGTAGATATACTCCTAAGTATTTTATTCTTTTTGTTGCAATGGTGAATGGTATCGTTTCCTTAATTTCTCTTTCTGTTTTCTCATTGTTAGTGTATAGGAATGCAAGAGATTTCTGTGTGTTAATTTTATATCCTGCAACTTTACTGTATTCGTTGATTAGCTCTAGTAATTTTCTGGTAGAATCTTTAGGGTTTTCTATGTAGAGGATCATGTCATCTGCAAACAGAGAGAGTTTCACTTCTTTTCCTATCTGGATTCCTTTTACTTCTTTTTCTGCCCTGATTGCTGTGGCCAACACTTCCAAAACTATGTTGAATAGTAGTGGTGAGAGTGGGCACCCTTGTCTTGTTCCTGATTTCAGGGGAAATGCTTTCAATTTTTCACCATTGAGGGTGATGCTTGCTGTGGGTTTGTCATATATAGCTTTTATTATGTTGAGGTATGTTCCCTCTATTCCTGCTTTCTGGAGAGTTTTAATCATAAATGGATGTTGAATTTTGTCAAAGGCTTTTTCTGCATCTATTGAGATAATCATATGGTTTTTATCTTTCAATTTGTTAATGTGGTGTATTACATTGATTGATTTGCGGATATTAAAGAATCCTTGCATTCCTGGGATAAAGCCCACTTGGTCATGGTGTATGATTTTTTTAATATGTTGTTGGATTCTGTTTGCTAGAATTTTGTTAAGGATTTTTGCATCTATGTTCATCAGTGATATTGGCCTGTAGTTCTCTTTTTTTGTGGCATCTTTGTCTGGTTTTGGAATTAGGGTGATGGTGGCCTCATAGAATGAGTTTGGAAGTTTACCTTCTTCTGCAATTTTCTGGAAGAGTTTGAGTAAGATAGGTGTTAGCTCTTTTCTAAATTTTTGGTAGAATTCAGCTGTGAAGCCATCTGGTCCTGGGCTTTTGTTTGCTGGAAGATTTCTGATTACAGTTTCGATTTCCTTGCTTGTGATGGGTTTGTTAAGATCTTCTATTTCTTCCTGATTCAGTTTTGGAAAGTTATACTTCTCTAAGAACTTGTCCATTTCTTCCAAGTTGTCCATTTTATTGGCATAGAGCTGCTGGTAGTAGTCTCTTATGATCCTTTGTATTTCAGTGTTGTCTGTTGTGATCTCTCCATTTTCGTTTCTAATTTTGTTAATTTGGTTCTTCTCCCTTTGTTTCTTAATGAGTCTTGCTAATGGTTTGTCAAGTTTGTTTATTTTTTCAAAAAACCAGCTTTTAGCTTTGTTGATTTTTGCTATGGTCTCTTTAGTTTCTTTTGCATTTATTTCTGCCCTAATTTTTAAGATTTCTTTCCTTCTACCAACCCTGGGGTTCTTCATTTCTTCCTTCTCTAGTTGCTTTAGGTGTAGAGTTAGGTTATTTATTTGACTTTTTTCTTGTTTCTTGAGGTAGGCCTGTAATGCTATGAATCTTCCCCTTAGCACTGCTTTTACAGTGTCCCATAGGTTTTGGGTTGTTGTGTTTTCATTTTCATTCATTTCTATGCATATTTTGATTTCTTTTTTGATTTCTTCTATGATTTGTTGGTTATTCAGAAGCGTGTTGTTTAGCCTCCATATGTTTGAATTTTTAATAATTTTTTTCCTGTAATTGAGATCTAATCTTACTGCACTGTGGTCAGAAAAGATGACTGGAATGATTTCAATTTTTTTGAATTTACCAAGACTAGATTTATGGCCCAGGATGTGATCTATTCTGGAGAAGGTTCCATGTGCACTTGAGAAAAAGGTGAAGTTGATTGTTTTGGGGTGAAATGTCCTATAGATGTCAATAAGGTCTAGCTGGTCCATTGTGTCCATTAAAGTTTGTGTTTCCTTGTTCATTTTCTGTTTAGTTGATCTATCCATAGTTGTGAGTGGGGTATTAAAGTCTCCTACTATTATTGTGTTACTATTAATTTCCTCTTTCATACTCGTTAGCGTTTGCCTTACATATTGCGGTGCTCCTATGTTGGGTGCATATATATTTATAATTGTTATATCTTCTTCTTGGATTGATCCTTTGATCATTATGTAGTGTTCATCTTTGTCTCTTTTCACAGCCTTTATTTGAAAGTCTATTTTATCTGATATGAGTATTGCAACTCCTGCTTTCTTTTGGTCTCCTTTTGCGTGGAATATTTTTTCCAGCCCTTCACTTTTAGTCTGTATGTGTCCCTTGTTTTGAGGTGGGTCTCTTGTAGACAGCATATATAGGGGTCTTGCTTTTGTATCCATTCAGCCAGCCTTTGTCTTTTGGTTGGGGCATTCAAACCATTTACATTTAAGGTAATTATTGATAGGTATGGTCCCATTGCCATTTATTTTGTTGTTTGGGGTTCACGTTTATACCACCTTTCTGTGTTTCCTGTCTAGAGAAGATCCTTTAGTATTTGTTGAAGAGCTGGTTTGGTGGTGCTGAATTCTCTCAGCTTTTGCTTGTCTGTAAAGCTTTTGAGTTCTCCTTCATATCTGAATGAGATCCTTGCTGGGTAGAGTAATCTAGGTTGTAGGTTATTCTCTTTCATTACTTTAAGTATGTCCTGCCATTCCCTTCTGGCCTGAAGGGTTTCTATTGATAGATCAGCTGTTATCCTTATGGGAATCCCTTTGTGTGTTATTTGTTGTTTCTCCCTTGCTGCTTTTAATATTTGTTCTTTGTGTTTGATCTTTGTTAATTTGATTAATATGTGTCTTGGGGTGTTTCACCTTGGGTTTATCCTGTTTGGGACTCTCTGGGTTTCTTGGACTTGGGTGGCTACTTCCTTCCCCATTTTAGGGAAGTTTTCAG